AGCTCATAATTGACAACGCTGGAATAGTCTCATCATCATCAACGAAGAACCAATGTCGATATCCTATCTGGCGCTCGGCGCCCAGACTACAGATGGCAGATCCTATCTAGCCTAATCTACAATGCCGCTGCGCAACTGCCTGAATTTCCCCAGTTGTGTGGTGACCCCAAAAATGGCCTGTAGGCTTGTTGAGCCTGCCTTCACTTAGGGCGGCCGACTGTGCTCAAAATAGGGCCCAGTAGGGCGGATCGAGGCCTTGTGCCTCGCACAACTAATAACAAGTTAAATAAGATTATTTTCTTTTTGTCTTTGTTCTGGCGACGTTCTCTCTACGGGCCTGTTGGCTGTCAGATTAGCAATTCATAGGCACTACACATCAAAGGCATGAAGTTTGCGAACTTAAAAGTACTCAGATGTTGGTCAATAAAATATGACCTTTCATAGAGCTCAATTTCCAACCCCAGCTGAATGGCTGAGGGGTGCAGACATGTCGGTAAACCGACCACCATTTTAGAACATGTTGGATTCGATAATCTTAGGGGGGTCATAAGACTACCTTTTCGACACATCGAAGTTATGGGGTCAAAAGCCGTGGAGTAGGGTCGTAGGGGTGTCCAAAGGCCGAAGGTCAGAAATACTGAGCAAAGCATCCAGAGTGGCAGGGACCGAAAAGTCAAACCAGGGCCCCAGGAAATTGGAATGGTCTTGCCGTACCTGGGCAGCAGTCCAAGAGTCAAAGACTTCTCGAGTAGGGATGATCACACACAAATCCAAAGGCATGCTCAGGACCTACTCCCAGATGCATTAAGGGTGTACTGGGTGCAAGCAGCATCAGACCGCAGTTGCATCCCTAATGCACCGGCAAACAGGTTTCAGTCCAGAGAAGGCGGGCCAGACTGGTCAACGGTATATGTGTGGGCCTCTAGTCCAGGTGTGACACATTCTGCTAGGCGCATAGTGGTTGGAGAACTGCTGAGTGCATGGATGGTAGAGAACTGCCGAGTGCATGGATGGTAGAGCTAAGCAGAGGGAGAGGGAGCGGCATCGCTAGGATAGGTGAAGGTGCTGCTGCACCACACAAACACACACACACACACACACACACACACACACACACACACACACACACACACACACAC